ATGGAAAACCAATAAGATAAGAAAACATTTAGGAGATTATGGGAAATGTTCTGAATTCTTTAAATCTAGTATATACGAGAGAGTAAAAGAAATTAGAAATAATTATTTTCATGAATAAAAGATTCACTACCATAATGAAATAAAAAATAAAAAATTTTTTTAAAAATAAACTTTAAAAATTCATGTCTTACGAAAAATTAAAACTTAGTTATGTTTATTATTTTATTTTTTTATTTTGTATGAAATGAGCGTCAAAACTAACAACGTTAAAAAATTAGGATTCACAAACGAGGAAATAAAGGATATATTAGAGGAGGTAGGTTATGAAGTTAATAAATATTATTTAAGAAATTGTCAAAAATTTGCCGAGTTATTAAATGATTTAGATTATGATGGAACAATGAATAAAGATGATGTTATAAATTTCTTATATCCTACATCTGAAGAAGAAAAACCTAAAGAACCTGATGTTTTTCCCGAATATTATGAAGAACGGATTAAAGATGATGAATACAATGAAATTGAAAGACTGAAAAAAATAAGAGATGAAATAGATGAAAAAATTAAGGAATTAAGAGAAGTTGAAAAATATAATGAAAATGAAGTAGAGGGTTTAATGAATATCCCAGCTTCAGAATCAGAAGTACAGAAATCTCATGAAGAAAGATATAAAAATTATGTCTCAGAATCAACACAAAATTTATTAGATGGTGAAATAGACGAAACACTTTCAGAAGAAGGTACTAAATTTATTCGTAAACATAAGTTACAATTTATTGATAATGAAGAATACCCTTGTATCTTATTTTCACCCCCTCTCGATTCTGAGAAATTCAAAAAAGCTCTTAAAAACGTGACATATGCAACTAATACGATTAAGAAAGAAGATCATGATATTTACACAAATTATTATTTAAATAAATGCACAGGTGTTGATAAAGTTTTTGATTTATTAGATAAAATATCAAAAGAAACCATTGGAACCTATAAAATTTTGTGTGATTGTGGTTTCATTGTTGAAGATACCAATAATGTTTCATATGAAAGAACAGCACCGAAGGAAGACGAAGTTGAAAGGTCTATACCATTCGTTATTAAGAACATAAAAGATATGAAAACTTATAAGCATTATATTTATTCATTTATTTCAGAAAAAATGGAAGCAACCCATAAAACATCTTCTCATCATTTTATAGCTATTCATACATTCCTTTTCAAAGTTGTGAAATTAAATAAGACAGGAATTAGATTTAATGTATCAGGGTACGCATTCTTGAGTAAATTAAAATGTATCCGTCACGTTGCAGATGATAAAAATTTATGTGTTCTTAATTCATTTTATGGGCTTTAAAAAATAAACTTTATTTTTATTTATTTTTTAATTTTTTATTCTTACATAAATGAACAAAAACGGAACAACTAAAATGAATGATAATCAAATTAGAGCAGAAGGTAGAAGGTTATTTAAACGCTTCTATAACATTCCTGATGTGTTAATCCTAAAACCGTAGAAGCTATTTAAATGAAGCAATAGATGCATATGAAGGGTTTGACATTTCATCAGAAAGTGAGAGATTAGCGAGAATGTTAAATGTTAATATTGATTTCTATTATTGTGATCCTCAACCAGAAGACGTGGACATAAATAAGGTAGACTTTCCATTAGTGGAATCAATAATGATAGATCCAGAATTTGAAACAGTAAATATTTTATTAACACAGAGTCCATGTGGAAAACTTCACGCTGACAGAATAACAGACGTTGAAGCACTCACCGGCTATAAAGTTTGTCCATATTGTAAAGAAGAAGTTTATTCTATCCGTGATGATCCAGAAAGGAAAAACCAAAGAAGATTTTTAAAGCATTGTGAGAAATGTAAAGAAAATAATGGAAGATTAATTCAAGACGTTCAGTTGCAAAAGACACAGCAACCATATGCACCACATATTACGAAACAGAAGATATATCAGTGGTTATTAGCTCACAATTTGCAGAAATATTATAAACCGACAAGATATTATATTACTTTTGACTTTGAAACATTAGAGACTAAAGAAGAATTACAACTTTCTGAGTGTGCAACTTTGAATGCTTACTTAAAACCATTCATGGTATCATCAACGGTTAAATTAAATCGATAAAACATATACGAGGAATTTTTGCTTAACTTCGAGTGATTCTTTTATTTCTGATTGGATTGAGTTTTTATTTTCAACCTGTTCATTAGTTGTAAATCAAATATGAGTCAATACAATGAATTATTGAAGTCGCAAACGGCGGGACTTTGTCCCATACATTAAATGAAAAACAGAAGGAAGCATTTAAAGAACTTCTAGATGAGGAATTCAATAAAGTGAATATCATAGGTTTTAATTCGGGAAAGTTTGATTTAAATTTAATTCTTCGTGATTTAAACACTGCAAAATGGAAAATAAAATCAATGCTGGGTTATCTTCACAATTTAAGCAAATCATTGTAAAGAAAACAAACGTTCCATATGAATTGAGATTTATTGACATCAGAAATTATATAGCGGGTGGGACATTAGACCAATTCACTCAAGATTTCGAAACAATAAATCACGTGTTAAATCCTTTTTCCCTTATCAATTTATCACATGGGAGAATTACGAAGAAGAATTATATAAAGAGGAACCATTCACGAAAGATTCATTTTATTCAGCATTAACCCAAGAAACTATATCAGATAGTGATTATCAAATATATCTCAATGATGCTAAAAATTTTAAGAATAGATTAGAATATTTTATTCATTATTGCAATAAAGATGTTGAAATTATGATTGACCCAATCGATAAAATTATTGAAGAAACATTTGTTTATAAAATTGACATGCTTCATAATCTTTCTTTATCATCGAATGCTTCAATGATTCGTTACGCTTTAGCATATAAAGACTTTAATCCTAATGAAAAATATCCTGAGGAAGAGATAGAATCAAGTTTTGAATTAACGAAAAAGTATTGGAAATATAAAATTGAATCATATAAGAAACAAGATGAAAAAGCAGAAAGGGATACTAAAAATAATGTTTCAATGGATGATTTTCAATACTATCACGATTTAATCCTTTCATCTAAATGCAAAATGTGTGGTAAAGCGTTTACATATGCAAATAAACCAACATTGGATAGAATAGATAATGAAAAACCACATACCAAAGAAAATTGTCAGTTAATGTGTTGTTATTGCAATGTCGTAAAATCAAATAAAATGAAGATGTTCAACATTTAAGAATCAATTTAAGAAATTATGCATTAAAAAATAATTTACCAATGACTCTAGATTCAGTTGAAGCTTATCACATTCTCCGTAATGGAATTACTGGTGGTTTATCAAATGTTCAACATAGAGTAAATCTTAAAGGAATCACGCACATTAATAAACTTTCATATAATCCAGAAACTAAAACTGTATCAAATGAGGACACTTCCAACATCATGACTCATTTCGTTGGTGTTGACTTTAATTCATTATATCCTTCATCATTTTCATCTAATCCTCATGATTTCATTCAATATACTGACCATAAAATGTATATGCCGGGAAGATTGAATGGTGTTATCATTTGTGATACAGCAACAAAGAAAGCAAAAGCACTGGGAATATTAAAAGAAAAATACTTTATTCGTGGCTGAAGTAAAGGGTCACATTGATGAAAAATACATTAATGATTACATAAACTTTTTACCGATAATAAGAAACTTAGATATTATCACAGATGAAAAAACAATTGGCAGTTTTATGTATAATTACATGAAATCAAACAATCTACCAGTTGACCAGAAACAGAGGAAATTAACTCAGTTAGCATCAACACACAACCAATATCAACCATTTTCTTCTTATTATCTTTGGTATCTAATAGACAGATTTCATTTTATCATCGATGATATTCAATCAATTTTAACATTTACGAAAAACACTTGTTTTAATGAATTTGCGAACGAATTTATGAACGAAAGACAAAAGGCTGAATTAGAAGGAAATAAAGGAAAAAGTTTATTTTGCAAGATTTCGCTTAATGGATCATATGGTTACGATGCAATGAATACACAAAATTACGCAAAGACTAAAATAATGAATGCACAGAAGGCACGCGTTGCATGTAATGTCAATAAGTTTAAAAACATAAGAGAAATAGGTGAAGATACATATCAAGTGATGCTTAAAGATAGATTTTATAGATGTGATACATGTTTACAAGAGGCATTTCACTTTAGATAACGCAAAATACTGGTATTTAGTTTTCATTTATGATTTTATGTATAAATGCATGAATGTTAATCGTTTTCATTTCATTGAAGGTGATACTGATTCATCTTATTGGGCAATCGCTGGCGACCCAAATCTTCCTAACACTCAAGCATTTCAAGCAATTGTTACCGATAAACAATTTTATGATAAAAACATTTTCAAATTCGCACCATTTGATTTCTTCTGTTTTGATAAGAAATTTAAACCTAAATTAAAGAATAAAGCTGAAGAAAAAGCACATGAGAAGAAGTTATTGGGTTTAGCAATTGAGAAACAAGGTGATAACATGGTTGCTTTATGCCCTAAGTGTTATACATCATTCAACGGTTCAATTGATGGAAGTGATTTTAAAAAGATTGCACAAAAAATGAAAGGTGTTAGTTTACGACAAAATAAACAATTAACACCTAAAAATTATTTGGATATAATAAATGATAAAGTGATATTTGATGGTCAGAATATTAATTTACAACTTAAAAACGGGTCAATGACTCGCTTAACAATCGGTAAGACTGCATTAACAGGGGCACACACTAAGGCTGTATGTTGTGAAAATGGATGTTGTATGCCATTTATTAATACAATTTAAAAATTTTTAATAAAATGCCACAGAAGAGACAAAAGGAACCGTTAATGATGCGATTCAATATGTAAATAATGGTTTTGATACTATGATTCAAAGAGGTGGGCACCCTTAAAACATTTATTTTATTTTTATATAAATGGATAACGCAGATTTAGAAAATTTAATTGATGATTTAGTACTTAATCAAAATTTTCTTAATTATTATGAATTAAAATCATATCTCCAAAAACATAATAAAAATATAACGGGTGATGATATGGATTATTATTATTCATATTATAAAAATGAAATTTTGAAATATCATGATAAAATAATTTCTAAAATTAAAGACAAAATTAAAAATAATGAATATACAAAGGGAAAAACTAAATCACAACTTAAACAGTTGAAAGATTTCAAAAATAAAGTATTAACAGAAGAAGATATTGATGAATTATATAAATTATATAATCCTGAGCCGCAAAAGCCAAAAAAACAAAAGCCAAAGAAGAAAAAGCCGAAAACAACACCAAAAGAGAAAGTAGCAAATGTTCAACAGCTAAAGGTGCAAAACGCCCAGGTCCTTCAGACCATAAATGATGCACAAGCTTTAATTTATGATTCATTAGTTAAACCATATTCAGCCCGACTTTTAAATGAAGATCAACTTTTGGAATTCATCCTTCAACATAAACTCGAAGTGGGAAAGTATATCAAACCTTTATATACAGCATATTTAAAACAAATGAATAGAATACATCCAGAATTAATGAAAGGAAAATCAACAACAAAAACTTCATCATCCAAAATCAAAGCAGATAAAATTAAACCACTTGCAAAACCAAAACCTCCAACGGTAGTACCTCCTCCTCCTTCAGTTAATCCTTCATCATTCACTTTATTATATCCATTTCAAACATTAAAGAAGCAAAAAGATTTTAAAAAGGATTTCAAGATATTAAATAAACCAACTGACCCAAAATTCAACCATTAAAGGAAAAATTTAGTCGCCCTTCATTTGCACCATATCCATATTCATACGAAATCGATCATTTAGAATATTCAAAAGGAAACGTTACTTATTTATTTGCCATTAACATTAACACTAGATATTTATATTGCATTCCAGTGAAAGGGAAAACAGAACAGGAAACAAGAAGAGCTATTCAATACTTACTAGATCATGAAAGAGTAGATAATATAAGGGGTGATAGTGATAAAGGATTTCAGGCAGCTATGATCATTATTTCCCACAAATTAATTTTTACTTCTCATCTTCTCCATATACGTTTCATAATAAAATAGTTGATGCGGTAATGAGAACTCTTAGAGATGCGTTAGGGGTTAACGGTCAGATATACTGGGATGGAAATCATGACTCCATCATACAACAGTTAGTATATTATTACAATAATACATGGCATAGAACTATAAACATGAAACCAGTGGAAATGAAAAATGATATTTCAAAAGAATGGGAATATATTAGAAAGCAAATGGAAAGGTTAAATGATGTTAAACGTGAACAAATTAATTTGGGGCTCATGAATTTTAAACAAGGGGATAAAGTTTTGATTCATCTCGATTATGGAAAAACTATAAATCAATGACAAAAAGAAGACGAAGATTTGACACAATAGCTGAATTTGTTAGATATATTAACGGCAATGCATTAGTTGAAGTTGACAATAAATTAATAGAAATTCCGATTTATTTTATTACTCCATTATATTTAAATAATATTTAATTTTTTTATTTCGTAAGAAATGAGTGACAACAAAGCAGCCAAGAGTCCTGATTCAATTAAGATTCAGAGTCCAGACAATGAATATAAAAAGAAACTAAACAGAATTAAATCAAAAATATGCTATTACAAAAAGAAGCCGCAATGCGGTGGGGCTGATGCCCATAAAACTAAAGTAATTGAAAACGATAAAGAGAGGAAAGAAATAATCGAAAAATTAGAAACTTACCGTTCAATCCTTAAACTGAGTGAAGCAAAAATAAAAGAATTTAATAGAATAAATAAATTGATTGGAAGAGATGAATTTAATAAAGATGAATTTTTAAACTCAATCCAAATTTAATTTTTATTCCTCTTCGACAACGTCTCTTCGAGACGATGGTGTCACCACGTCACCATGTGTCACCTGGTTAATTAACTTCTCTTAAAATTACTGACAACATGACATTTTGACATCACAGCAGGATTAATGCAAAAATAAATTCAAATCATACTTTATAAAGCTTCATTATCGTTTGGTTCAACCTGTTTATATAATCCTTTCATTTCTTCTTTCAAAACATAACACCATGTTTGTTTACCATCTATTCTTCTCTGTTTCCTATCACATTTATCCTTAATGCTCATTTGGAAATTCTTGTCTTTCATGTCTGATGGTTTGCAGAATAGAGCATTTTTACACGTCATACCTGCACACAATTCATCATAATGTGTATTTATCCATTCATCTAAAGGATTTGTTGATAATTCTATTAAATCTTGTTTGGCTTCAGTCATCGGTATGATTCGTACATTAAATGATGAAAGGTCATATTGCATAAAATATGTTAGTAAATTATCATAAAATTCCTTTGTGCATGAATTCATTAAATTCTTGAAGTAATCAAATTGACCCTTGAATTTACCATTAACTCTTAAAACTACGTATCTTCTGTCTCCAACTTCAATTTTGACAGGGTAGACGTTATTAGTTACCAAAATGAAATTGGCAACATTCTGAGCAGTTCTTCTGGGTTGATTCTTTTCATTAATTCTAATTTGATTATCCGTAATAATTGATTTCAAAGCGTTGAAGTTTGCGAGTCTATCTTCACCAACATTCTTGAGTTCATTAAGTACAAGAAACATTTTATTCTCAACTACTGAATTGAAATTACCCGTTAGCTCACTTATTTCAGTAATGTTTTTACATGAATAACCTGCGAGAAGTTCAGAAATAATGTCTGTAAATCTGTTTTTACCTGTTCCCTGAAGTCCTTTCAAAATAATTGCTGTTTCATTCTTGATTCCAGGATGTTGAATCATTGATGCAATCCAGCCGAGAAGGTATTTATACACTTCATCGTTATTATCACAAATGGCTTCTTTAATGAAATTCATAAACATCTCAATTTTTGAGTAATCAGGCTTTTCGAGAACGTTGCATTTATAACCTTGAAACGTTGAGAAAACATCTGGGGAATCAGATTTAAAGCAAACACCCTTAACGGTTAATGAGGATAATTGATTTAGTAGTACATCCCATGCTGTTATTGTTTTACCTTCTTCTTTAAATAATTTAATCATTTTAAGTGACTCTTTCATGTTTGATTGAAGAACGAATGATATTTGATTCATTTTGTCGTGGATATTATAGTCCTTTTGAATGAAATATTTATTTCCACAATCTACAAAACGGATTACACGTGATAAATCCTCTATTACTTCAGAACTGTTTTTATACTGATGATTTTCAGCCTTGCGTCTAATATCTGTTATCAAGAATGAATCATCAAGTTTTATATCAAATGTTATTTTTGGCTTACGTAATAAAGGCAAAACGTATTCGTCATAATATTCCTTTTGATATAGTTTTAGAATCTTCACTAAAACAAATGGAGAAGTCATTAAATGTGCATATCTACTACGTGCTTTTTCAAAATTACTTTTTGCATTTTCAGTTAAGCTGCAGAAGTTATAAACGTTATCGTATGCTTCATTAATCAAATGATCCGGTAACGAATTAATTGCTTGAAACAGTGTGAATAATGTAACTTCTTTTTCTAAATTCATGTTTCCACCGTCATTATGTACTTCAAAATCACTGATGCCATCAACTATGCTCTGGGCAAGTTTATCGTCAATGTTTACATCTTTGTTTTCATTCATGATAGTCTTTATTTCTTCGTTCTTCTGTTCAACTCTTACCTTAATATTCAAATCATTTAATATATCATTCACTGTTCTAGTTAATGTTGAATCATAACTTCCACGAATGAATGAGTATGTTTTGATTGGTTCTGTTGCATTCTTGCGAACTCTTGAATCAGCCATAACTACTAAAGAACGCTTTGAATCATCAATAGAAGTCATGATATCGATATCATAATCATTGCAGGAATAGCATTTAATCATTCTGTTCGAAACTGAATAGAAGAAATTAGTGTTACAATAAATGTGAAGACCTCCTGAAGCGGTTTTAACGATAACATCTTTATCCGAAAGTTTTGATAAAATATCTTTTCTAACTGTTTCTTTAAGTTCATCATTGTACGATTTATTGATATCAACATCTATAATCGTTAAATTTGAAATTTTATTTACTAATAAAGCCATACCAGTTTTCCTTCCTCTTCCTCCATCGTGTTTGCGGTAGTTATGTAAATCAATCTTGTTTTCACCAATTCTTTCGTTAAGGGTTTTAGTTTCTGCCGTAACTAATTCCTCAGCTAATGACTCAATAACTTTTTCATCAGAAATTATAAAGTTGCTGTTGTTGTTTGTTGCTGTCATTTATATAGGAATAAAAAAATAAAAATAATTTTAAAACTAACTTTATTTTTGGACTGCATCAAATTTCCAGGACTGTTGTCAAAATGTCATGCTGTCATCATTTTTTAAAGAAGTTAATTAACCTGGTAACATGGTGACGTGGTGACACCATCAGTTATTCAAAAATAATTAATTATTGAATAACCTAAAAACCATTAACGATAACATATATTTCTACAGTTCATCCATTACTTCATTACCTAATTAATTACAGACATAAAATATATTTAGTTCATAAAAATTTTTTGATTAATTTTGGCTTATTTTTATTCTTCCAGTAATCCTTTTCGAGTTCCGATAAATGTGTGGGGTTCGATTCTCTCAAATTTCTAGAAGGAATTTTATCATCCACACCTCCTTCATAAATGACAGTGTATTCATCTTTAACCTGATGAACTATATTTTCATCATAAAATCTCTTAATTTCTGTTCTATCATTAAATCCCGCATTCTTTGCAGCTTCATAGAATTTTTTAAATGACCTCCACGGTGATGATTCGAATACTTCTTTTAAACTCATTTATGTAAAAATAAAGATTTTATTCAAGACGGTACCATGCAAATACAGTCATAAATGGTGGCATGTAATCTTCACCCGAGCCTGTTGGATTTGTTGTGAAAGTATGTGAATGATTTCCTCCTGGTTCAGTTGGTCGAAAAGTCTTTTTTGTTGAATCGTTATAAACTGGAGATAAAACATCATGACCGGCTTCATAGTCTGAGTTGTATAATGGGTGGTCTCTTAATGATGTATATGTCGCCAGAAAAGTTTGTAGTTCCTGTATGCTTATGCGGCGGAAGGTTTGCTTCTTTAATTTTCTTTGAACCACCTGTTTGCTTTGAAGAGTTAGCACAATAGAGGAAACGATCAGTTATTTGTTGCCATGTACCGAAACCGAATACATCAGCTGGATTTGTTGAATTCATTGATGTATATATTGAACCAATGGGGTAAATCATCTCAAGAATTGTATTTAATCCATTATGAATATTGAATTTATTATATAATATTGAAACTGGGCGAGTATTTAAAACTGGTCTTGTTATCAATATTAACGTATTATTTTTGAAAATTGCTTTTCTAACATCTTGGAATTTTGTGATTTCAGACCAGTTTCTTCCATCATTACTGATATTTACTAAATCACCACATCCTAAAGCAATAAAATGACCATCAATATAAAACAAATTTGTAAATCTATAATTTCGAGTAAATTTTGGAGTGAATGAATAAACCAATTCCCAACTTGGTGTTTTCTCTGGATCCTGTGAAAAATCCTGTGATAAATAAATATGTCTGTTATAACTTACAGGATATGAATAG